CTCTACATTTATCATACCTTCTTCTTTTTTTTTTTTAACTCAGGATTGAACCCAAGGGCATTATACTCCTGAGCCACATCCCTAGTTCTTTTTATTTATTTATCAATATTTATTTTTTAGTTGTAGTTGGACAGAATACCTTTATTTTATTTATTTATTTTTATATGGTGCTGAGGATCAAACCCAGGACCTCACACGTGCTAGGCAAGTGCTGTACCGATGAGCCACAACCTCAGCCCCCCATGTTTTTTGTCTTATATTTTGAGACAGAATCTGCTAAGTTGCTTAGGGCCTCGCTAAATTGTTGAGGCTGATCTCAAGCTTGCAATCCTCCTGCCTCAGCTCCTGAGTCACTGGGATTATGAGCCTGTTCCACTGCTCTTGGCTCAATGTGGATGTTTTGACCGAGAAAGGAGGTGTCTTGTGTCATAGAAAACATATAGCAGGAATATCAGGGAAGGAAGGAAAGAGAGATCTCAAATGAGACCCAGAAGAGGTCCAACTATTCTTTTATCCATTTGCAGCCAAGTGGGAACCTCTATCACCTGTTCTGCCCCTGCCCTCATTCTTTCATGAGACCCTGGCCCTGGAAAAGTCCTACAGTAAACACTCAGATTGGTTAATTGAGTTCCATCTATGGCTCTGGGCTTCAGTGCTATCTTAAGACAGACCTAGCCCATCCCCATTCCTCTAAGAATGTACATTTTCTTTGAAAGATCAGAAGATACAAAATAATTAAAAAGGTTGAACATAGTAGGACTAGGTTAAGCACAAACTCAATACCTGTAGTATGGCTTTGAGAACCAAAAGCATCAGCAGTAATTGCAGTGGCCTGAGTTATTCTGTCACTTGGCAACTGTAATACCCATTCCTACTGGCAATAGCATCTCTTGTGCCCCCTTCCCACTGACAAAATTTGATCACATGAGGTCTCTCTTTCTTCTGGTCCTACCCCCTTCATACCAGATCTTTCTGATTCTAGTGGGATCTCACTTTCCCTCATCTGTCCCTATGCTAGAGTAAAGAGTTTCTGTTTCTATTGGCAATTTCTTCCAGCTTCATGCCTTTTGCCACCTTGTATTGATAGCTCTGGTTGTTCTCTTCAGTTCTTTTTCTGGAAAGGGTGGTCATCTGATGATGGAATTCAGTGAACAGGAGCCCACATTCCCAGCCAGTCACCAACATCAGCATTTCTTCCTGGATCTTAAAAGGGGGGGGGTGTAGATAGCCAGGTGCAGTGATACATGCTGTAGTCCCAGTGACTTGGAAGGCTGAGGCAGGAGAATCACAAGTTCAAAGTCACTCTCAGCAACTTAGCAAGGCCCTAAACATTTTAGTGAAATCCTATCTCAAAATAAGAATTAAAAGAACATCTCATGGGCTGGGGATATAGCTCAGTTGGTAGAGTGCTTGCCTTGTATGCACAAGGCCCTGGGTTCAATCCCCAGCACCAAAAAAAACAGTGGGGGCTGGGAATGTGACTCAGTGGTTAAGCACCCAGTACAAAACAAAAAAGGGGGTACTAGGGGGAGGTTAATTAGCTGGAAGAGGACCTGAGGTACGGTAGTCCAGTCCTTATCCCCATGGAGAACTGTTCAGTAAAGATCACCATCTCCTTATCCTGGCCCCATCTCCTGTCTAGGGCTGGTAGAGGAGGAGCCTGCCATTTTCTGTAGACTTTTAGGCTGAGAATGGAATTGTCCCTGGTGACAGGCTCAACATCACATGTTCTAGTCCACCTGGTTTTCTTCAACCCAAGGAAGGGTGGGGCCAAGACCACAGTGATGACTGATCTGGATTCCAACACACAGTGTAATACTTGCAGCAACCACAATGACCAGTCCAGTTCCACCAAGGATGACCAGAGCAAGAGGCACCTGACATTGCTGCCAGAGCAACCACAGATTCATCTACCACAGGAATATCAGGTGGAAGAGGGCCACTGGTCACAGAGAAGGCTAGGAAGAGGATTTGGTGAGAAAGCAGCAGCAGTTTCTGTAGGTGCAAGCAGGCAGAGTTCAGCTCCAACAGCAGAGACACCACTAAGAAGCCCATGTAGTAACGAGATAGAACAATGGTGCTGAGGCAGCACATTATCTGGGAGAGGCAGCGCATTATCTGGGAGTGGAAGTCTAGGTCAGAGGACCTCCCATGACCTGCACCCATCATGTCCCAATCTCCCAGTCCCTATACAAGGGACTGTAGAGCATTTTGTGAAAGTTTCCCCAAACCTGACCTTTATGCTTTCCCTTGTCATGGGGACTGAACTACCTTGGCTCAGGGGCTGTCTAATCTTGGGGCTTCAGCATCTGTACAGTACCCCCAACTTCCATTCCTGGGCTTTTGTGCCCCATCCCTACACCCTATATCAGAAATCTCCATATTCATAGTTTCTGTGATCAGCTGGACACTTGGAGGGATCCAAGCTTCTTGGGCAGTGTCCAAATTCCAAACTGTGGCCAGCGGTCAATCCCTCCTCCAATTCATCCTAGGATTGGAATGATCAACCCCAGCTAGGGTCAAAGAATTTGTGTGAAGTCAGAGGAAAGAAAGCTAAAGAGAGGTTCAGAACCCAGGTTGGGCAGGTCTCCCTTCTTGTCTGGCCTCTCAGAGTCCTCCCACAAATGGTGACAAAGAAGGTCCTAGGCCTGACCAAGGTCTGGTTCCACAGCATGTAAGCTCCATTGGACAGGAAGTAACCTATGGAGGTAGGAGAAGGGGACCTGAAATTCCCACTCGAAATTTGCCCTTCACTGGCCCAGTCTTCCTTGCAGATCCACTGACATTGACCCCAGCAGCAGGTCTCAGGGCCGGTGGCCGTGAATCCAGTTGGCGGTCGTCTGAGAGAAACGGGGGAGCCACGGCCAGACTATCTGAGACCCCGACCCATTCTCAGATTGGGTACTTCCCTCCCACCCATTCATGTTCCCACTCCAGTCTCAGACTTTGAAGCAGTCTCCAATCAGTTCTGAATGTACTCGCCGGGTCTTCTAGCCTCAGCTTTCCCTGTTCATCTCATTCCAGTGCCTCTCGAATCCCTGGGGGCCCCGCACCGGAGCAGCACCCCGATCCAGGTGAGCAGGCTGTATATCAGCGAGACTACAGGTGTACCGCCACTTCCAGCGGTTCTGTGCAGCAGATCCCAGCATGGGAAGCAACTGCAGCCCCCAGTGCAGCCCCCGGAAGGCGGCAAAGGAGGCTCCAGTAAGAAGAAATCCCAAAGGCGCCATGGCTCCCTGGGTCAACTAGATCCGGACGGGTTCCTGTGGCCCCTGTGCCTTTCCGCAGGACGCCGCCAAGACACTCTGCGGGATGGGTGGTCTGGCTTCCTTACACGGCTCCCTTGCCCGCCCCGCCCTCCGCATCTGCTATAACTTTCCTCTGCTTGTCCACGCCCCGATTCCTCCGCCTGGCGCTGATTGGAGCAGCCGTGGGGCCACCGCCCTAGGAGCCACGGCAACCGATCGCGTCCGGCATCAGCCT